CGGGGGCACCGATTTTCAGGGCATGATAAACGTCCCCTGAGATCGGTCCCGACCCCGCTTGAAAACTGCCGGTTCTCGGCAGTACTTTCCTCACGATCTGACGCGGAGGAAAGTGCAACCCGAAAACCGGGCCTTGCTTTTTCCCCTGTGTAAAGGTGTTTTTGGGACACCGCTGACACGTGTAAAAGGGCCCGGGTATGTTTGGGCCTTTTTTACCACATCAGGGGTGATCAGCTGTGTCCCGCAGGGAGCGCGTTCGGGAGGAAACGTCATAATGAGTCCATCAGAACTGGCGGCCGCAGTTTAGCCGTCTTTTTTGGCTATCTGCGGTTCGGCAACTAGTTAAGGGTCACTAGGTGGCACAAGTTTATGAGACGGGGGGTTGATTTACTAACTTGGGAAGTGAAAAAAAATTGGTGAGGTGCGGGTAGCCAGGGCCGTGCTTCCCCACTAGGCAAAACTAGGCAACCCCCTTTGGGGCACTCCACCTAGGGGTGCCTGGCGCAGAAAGGCCGGCACCTCCCCTGTGTGCCAGGCCCTGTGTTTTCTTTTCCACGAGCCCCCTCTCCCATACAGGGTTTTGTGGGGAAAAGGTTCTTTACTCTGCCAATTTCTCCACCCGCCCACACACATGCCCATTTGATTTTTCTGGGGGCCAGTGTAGCATTTGAGCTGCCACTCCCTTCCCAGTTTTCCTCTCAACCAGTCCCTTACTGCAAAGCCGGTGGTGACGCTGATCACTGGGATTTTGTAACTCGTCTTTTTTTTTTCCTTTTTTTGGGTTTGTTAAATTTTTTTTTTTATTATTTTTTTTTTAAATTTGGTCGATGGCATCTTATGGCACTTATTTTTGGAAAAAGAAAAAAAATTCAGCAGTTTCGTTTGTTAAATTTAAAATTTTTTACTGTTTTTAAAATGTTTTTTTAAATTTTTTTTTTTTTTGGGGGGGGGGGCAAAAGGGTAGATGGTTTTGCCAAAGGGCCCACAAAATAGTCTAGCCCCGGGCCCCTTGAGGGTTTGGCCAACCCGTTTTAAACTTCTGCTTGTTCAAAAGGCTTAACAAAAAAACTGGAAGCTGATTGGTTTCTATGCGAGCTACACCAGATTTTGCACTCGACAATTTTAGTAAAACAACCCCAATCCCGTAGAGCAGTTTATGTCAAACAAGGGCTACCTGTGATCGTATGGGCAGGGGTTCTCAACTTTCCAAATTTGCCGCGACCTTTAATACTTTTCCTCATGTTGTGGTGGGGGCCCCAACCTTAAAATTTTTTTCGTTGCTATTCATAACTGTAATTTTGCATTGGGGGGGAGTAGGGGCCACAACACTGTTTGTCAGTGGGGGAATAGTGTCCCATCGTTGGTATAAATGGGGGGGAATAGTGTCCCATCTTTGGGGTATCATTGGGAGGAATAGTCCCCCCTTAAAGGGGTGTCATGGGAGGGGGGTAGTGCCACATAAACAAAAGTCATTGGGGGGGAATAGTGTCCCATCGTTGGTTACCCAGTGGGGGGAAAATAGTGCCACATTGTTGGTGCCCAGTGGGGGAATATTGCCCCACATTGGTGTCAGTTTTGGGAGGAATAGGCCCCATCATTGGTTTTCAGTGGGGGGGGGGAAATTATGCCCCATCTTTAATACTAGTGGGGGGGGGAAATTTTGGGGGCCCCCATCATTGGGTCAGGGGGGGGGGGGGGGAAAAGTGCCCTATCTTTGGGTTTGTCAGTGGGGGGGGGAAATAGTGCCCTATCGTTGGGTTGCCCGTGGGGGGAGGAATAGTGCCCCATCGTTGGTGTCAGTGGGGGGAGGAATAGTTCCCCATCTTTGGTTTTCGGGGGGGGGGGGGAGGAAAAAGTCCCCCCATCTTTGGGTGTCATTGGGAGGAATAGTCCCCCATCATTGGTATTAGTGACACCAATGAGGGGGGCACTATTCCTCCTACGTACACCAATGATACTTTACCTTGGTAACTCCTCTCCTGCTCATCAACCAGGGCTTGCTCCCCTCCCTCTCCCCTCTACAGCCAGCATACCTGGGTGCAGCAACACCACTGCACGCCTACAGACACTTACCTGTCAGCTGTCTTCCTTGCTCAATCTTCTTCTGATCTTCCGCGCTGCTCGCTCGTCTCCTCCTCCTCGCCCAGTGATTGGCCCACTGTGTAGCCTCTCCTGAGCTACAGTTCAATCACTGGCGCGGAGGGGGAAGCTGTTGAGTGATCCCGGGGAGTCGGTGGGCCAGAAGACAGGGGCGGCCATGTCATCCCGCGCAAAACATCGCGACCAGGGGAAATGTGGACGTTATCTGCATTGGGCGGACCTGCCTGGAGACTGATAGAGGAGAGATGTCCTCGGTTTCCAAAGACCATCGGAAAAGTATGTGTTTTTTCGATAGTCTTGAGGAGACACCCTGTTGAAAGAGTAGTTCGACAATCCCCCCAAAGGGGGTCGTGACCCACAGGTTAGAAACTGCTGCTATAGGGCAATACCTTCCCTCACCAGGGAGATAAAAAGTCCAGGTGTGCAAGTGAAGGAAAACTTGGAACCTACTCAGGTTAATGGCAGGAAGAGTCTCTGCTCCAGATACATAGGATTATGGCAGCATGCCACAGAACCACCAACAATTTAAGTTCCGCAACCATGACACAAGCTAGCACAGTGCTTTATGTAATGACTGTGGCCTTGGAAGGAAATTGGCATGTCTCTGTTTTAAAACTCGGTGGGCCCTCACACTAGAAAAAATATCAAGCCAGTCACCAAGTACACAGCTCATATACTAAGGTTCAATATACTGTCTCATCAGGAAATGGTCCATCTAAACACCAGAGAGCAATTGTGACGAGATCAATGTGTAACCCCATAGGCATGCTCCCCAGAGGTTTTTGGGAAACAAGCAGTACAGGAGCCTACACCTGTAAACCTCCACTGACCTACCAATGTTGAGGGAATATTTTTCTTGTCTTGTCATTAAATGACATCTAAAAACCAAATAGGCTTTATCTCTAAATTCTCTTACACCAGAACTTAAAGCGAAACCTCCGATCTAAAATGTAAATTGCCGCTTTATCCTCCCTCATATAAAGAGTCATTAAAGGAACCTTATTTTTTTCCAATGAGCTGGTACCTATTTCTGACAGTACCTGCTCCCACTTCTGCTTTGCTCCTGCTGTCCCCCGCATCGCAACCTCTCATAATCCCAGAAGAACATGCAGGATTCATTGAAAAAACTCATGCAAGCGCAAGCACTAATGGTCCCAAAATGGTTGTTAAAGCAGATATTGTGAAAGGTGTGTTCAGATAAAACATGAGGGTGGCAGTTGTTGTCTGTGGCAAAGGTTAACTGTGGAGGTAAATGACAGTGTCAATCACTCGTAGTCTCAATCTCTGTTCTGGGCAGGGGCGACTGACAACTCATGGGGACCCCCCCCCCCCCCCCCCCAGGCAATAGGGGATCATGGGGCCCCTGTGTCCCTTCCCAAACTCAAAAAACCCTATGAAAAAGGTACCAGGGGGCATCTCATAGGGGCCCCCTACTGACCCTGGGCTCTCAGGCAGTGCCTGAGTTTCCAATGGTCAGTCCGCCCCTGATTCTGGGTGACGATAGGAGTGCCATGATCATATATTAGCAGCAGACATGTTGCATAATGATAAAAAATGGTTTTCTTTTGACTTGTTAATTAACACATCTCATTTAACCTAAATTCATAGAATTTGTTTTCTGAATTTGTTTCATATTTATCTCCTTGTTTTGAATTTCCTTAATTGAATTCAATTTGACTGAATTTCAGAAAATTTAAATTGCCATTCAAATTCTAATTTGTTTTGATCAAATGCGATTGCCAAATGTTTTGAACTTCTAATGCAGTCTTTTCTGCCTCCTTTTCCTTCTCCTCAAGGCAGGGCAGCCACTCTTTTAAGTACTGCAAGTGCAAACCATTTCCTCATCTCGCAGTCAGGCGTAAGAGTTAGAAGATTTGGGGTTCTGGCAGTGGAGGAGGGCTGACGGTACTTTAGGTGGAGGTGGGGAGGAAAAAAATGTGGGTGGTTTCAGGAGGTTTCACCCCTCCCTGATACAAAGTTAAAATTAGCGGATCTCCTGCTCAGGGGGAGCCCCAAAATGCATCAATTTTTGAGGATAAGTTACAAGTAACTATTTGCTGCATTTTCCAATGGTGGCTAAATCCTGAGCACTGGAGGCATAACTGCATTGGGAAAAGCTTTGGCCATAGCCTATAGTTTCTATTTTTGTGGAGTTACATTTTTTTACAATGACATTTACGAACTGACACAATGCTGCTTATGTTTACAGCTGGTCAATGCATACTTGCTTAGTAAAAGTTGTGTGCACCAAAGTAACTCACGTATTTATCTCCCCATTGCCAAAACTGATATTTAAATAATTTAAAAAAGGACAGCCAGGCCTAAAGTCAGAGGCATAAGTTCTGCATGCAGTGGTAATAGGTTTTACATTTTAACAGTAAGTTAAAATTAACATTGTTGTAAATTATTGTAAGACCATAAGCATTACTGTTTACCTACCCATGTTTGCTCCAAGAGATTTCTAAGCAAAATAAAGCAGGGAGACATGGATGGGTGGTTGAGTTTGCTTTGAATATTAACTAGTTGCCGACCACTAGATAGCCGAATGAAAAAACGGCTGCAACTGTGGCTGGCCAGTTCTGGGAGGGCGTCATATAATCGTCCTCCCAGAACACGCTCTCCTGCGCTCCCCCGGCGATCTCCATGATCCGCTGTGTTCTTAACGGACACAGCTGATCACGTGATGTGGTAAAAGCCCAATCAACAGTGGCCTTTTACCATGTGATCAGCAGTCCAATGACACACTGATCACAGGGAAATGCAATTGCCGATTCTCGGCTGCACTTTTCCTCACGCTGTCCAGAGCAGTTGTCCAGAGCAGGGATCAGCACAACCGATCATCAGGGCACTGATGATCAGTGCCCAGCAGTGCCACCCACCAAGTTCCACCCACCTGTGTGCCCAGCTGTGCACCCACCTGTGCTCACCTGTGCCAACCACCTGTGCCTAGCAGTGCCGCCCATCTGTGCCCAGCAGTGCCACCCATCTGTGCCACCAGTGCCCATCAGTGCAGCCTAGAAGTGCCGCCAGTCTGTGCCCAGCAGTTGCCCTAGTCAATGCCCAGTAAGTGCAGCCAGTCAGTGCCCCAGCAGTGCCCGCCTGTCAGTGCCCGCCTATCAGCTGACGACTATCAGTGCCGCCTATCAGTGCCGCCTATCAATGCCCACCTCATTAGTGCTGCTTATCAGTGCTTGCCTATCAGTGCCCTTCAGTGCTGCCTATCAGTGCCACCTACAGTGCCCATCAGTGCTGCCTATCAACGCACATCAGTGAAGGAGAAAAATTAACCTGTTTGCAAAATTTTATAATAGAAACAGAGAAACTTTTATTTTCAAACTTTTTGCTCTTTTTTTTTGTTAATAGCGCAAAAAGTAAAACAACCTAGTGGCTAGTGGCAAGTAAATACCACCAAAGAAAAGCTCTATTTGTACTGTATAATAATAATATAATAATAATAATAATAAATTTGTGAGAAAAAAATTATAAAAAGTTCATATGGTTAACAATGTTGCATGACTGCGCAATTGTCATTCAAAGTGCGACAGCGCTGAAAGCTGAAAATTGTCCTGGTAAAGAAGGGGGTATAAGTGCCCGGTAGCAAGTGGTTAAAAATGAATTAAACGAATATTAGATTTTACAACCTGTCTTGTCTTCTTCATCAGAGTCTTGATTGATTACTGGGAAATCACGTTAACCAAACTACTCCCCTAGAGTAGACACTGGTGTCTCCGCTACACCTTCCAGCCATTCTGCAATTCTAACCTCAAGACCCTACCTCGGTCTCCTCCGATTGAATCTACTGTTCAGAGACACAGTATTGCCTGGAGAGAATGCAGAAACTACTTGGCCTACCCACTAAGGATATCCTCCCACCTGCCCTATTCTTGGAAACCCTATGTTCCCTCCAGTGAGTGAGCATGCAGCAATTTACACACTGGTCTCATAGCGGACTTACAAAAGTCATATCCATCTTTGATGATACCAAAACGTACCTTCCAACCTTTTTCAGTACTAGCTGCAAAATACTCCTTACCGGGCATCCCTTTTACTACCATCAACGGGTGATCTTCCTCCAGATGTGCTATTCTCCAAAACAACATCCCTTGAGTTCTTTGTTACATTAACTACCTGCCAACCGCAGATAGCCGAATGAACGGCTGCAACTGCGGCCAGCCAGTTTCTGAGTGGACGTCATATGACGTCCTCCAGAACGCGCTCTCTCCTGCGCCACCCCCCAGGGGGCGCGGACCCGGCGATCTCCATGATCGCTGTGTCCTACGGACACAGCTGATCACGTGATGTGGTAAAAGGCCAATCACCAGCGGCCTTTTACCACGTGATCAGCGGTGTCCAATGACACGCTGACAGAGGGAAATGCAAGTGCCGGTTCTCGGCTGCACTTTCCTCACGCTGTGTCAGATCGTGAGGAAAAGTACTGCCGAGAACCGGCAGTTGTCAGAGCGGGGATCGGCACCGATCATCAGGGCACTGATGATCAGTGCCCTGATGAACGGTGAGCCCAGCAGTGCCACCACCCGCAAGTTTCCGCCCACCTGTGACCAGCAGTGTGCCCACTAGCTCCGCCCACCTGTGCCCAGCAGATCACCCACCTGTGCCCAGCAGTGCACCCACCTGTGCCTCTCTGCAGTGTCACACACACCTGTGCACAGAAGTGCCACCCACCTGTGCCCAGCAGTGCCACTCACCTGTGCCCACCCCCCTGTGCCCACCAGTGCCACCCACCTGTGCCCACACCCACCAGTGCCACCCACCAGTGCAGCCCCAGCAGTGCTGCCAGTCAGTGCCACCTTTCAGTGCCCAGGGGTTGTGCCAGTCAGTGCCACCAGTCAGTGCCCAGCAGTGATGCCAGTCAGTGCCGTCTATCAGTACCCATCATCAGTGTCACCTATCAGTGCCGCCTATCAGTGCTGCATATTAGTGCCGCCTATCCGTGACACCTCATTAGTGCTGTCTATCAGTGCCACCTATCCGAGCCACCTCATTAGTAACTGCCTATCAGTGCCCTTTAGTGCTGCCTATCAGTGCCGCCTATCCGTGCAAAAAATACCTGTTTGAAAAATTTTATAATAGAAACAAAGAAACTTTTTTTTTTCTTCAAATTTTTTGCACTTTTTTTATTTATATAGCGCAAAAAGTAAAGCACCCAGTGGCGATTAAATACCACCAAAAGAAAGCTCTATTTGTGAGAAAAAAAAATGATCAAAATTTCACATGGGTACAATGTTGCATGACCGCGCAATTGTCAATCAAAGTGCGGCAAGCGCTGAAAGCTGAAAATTGGCCTGGTAAATAAGGGGGTATAAGTGCCTGGTAGGCAAGTGGTTTAAACAACTATACAACACCTCTCTTACCAAAGACCCTATGCTCTGTCTCTTCAATTATCAAGATCCCGCGATGTCAGCAAGTACTCCGATGCTACTTCCTCAGAGGATCCGTATTTGTTTATTGGTAGTTCGCAGAGCACTCATGCAAGCTTGGATACAGCCAAACCCCTCACAGCTGAAGATGGTAATAAAGGCATTAACTGCCCTATTTAATCTGGAGAAGCTGGACACCATTACTCAGAATTTTAAGTCTACATACAGTATCGCTTTATCTCTAGATGGTGCCTGCTTCATGGAATAACTAAAAAAAAAACACAAATGGTGCCGCATTACTCCTTTACTCCTGTGGAACTAGCCACTCACATGGAACCTTTTCGATATTTGGCTTGGTATCTCAAAGCTCAACTTACCAATACGCTGGAAACTACGATTGTCCAACTTCTCTTGTAGTCCCACTCCACAGCTTTCTATTATCCAGTCACCTAATGGAGCCTGTGCTCCTCCTTATGATTCTTAGCTCACACAACACTCTTTCTCAATTGTCTTTTTGATAGCGATGTTCTTGTTTCAGGCCTTCTTAACCAAGCTTCCGTTCCTAGGGAATTGCTTAACTTTTGGAATTCTGCTTACGGTATACTGATTTGTTATGTCATTGATGTCAATTCGGACACTGCCTTTTGTTTTCATTACAGAAGTTGTACTGACTTCTGTACTCACCACTCTTATGGAAAACATGGTTTACAGATTTGTATGTTAAGATATTTTTGGACCAAGTGTATAAAAAAATTCAATAAAATTGTTTAAAAAAAAAAAAAGAATTAAATAGTATTTTTTGCTTTGTGGTGCTCAGATGTAGTGTAGTTGCGCTTCAACAAAGAAAGTCCTAGGTTTGTACACCTCCTCCTCCTCACCCTCATCCTCCTCCTTCATGACACACATTATTTGGACTACAAATGCTGCATTTTCCCTCCTCTTATTCACCTGATATCCCCGATTCCCAGCTGGCTGGCTATGATATGATCTATGACCATAAACCTCCACGTACCTCTGGTCAGCAGGAGTATTGAAGTGCTGGTGGTGAGGTGAAGGAGAGGAGTTGGGGTTCTGGTGGTTGGTGATGCTTGAGGTGAGAAGGAAGAAATTTAGGGTGGCATCAAGAGGTTTGTTTCAACACCCCTTCCTGATACAAAGGTAAAACCAAGGGATCTCTTCCCACCACCCAAAACGCGTCACACTTTGAGGAGGAGATACAAAGAAACTCTTATTGGGGCTGTTACAAGAAGGTGCAAGAAATAATATGATGCTTCTAGATGCTCCCAGATAAAAAATAAGGATTCTGAAGTTAAAGTGTTACTAAACCCTGGACCCTACATTCACTATATCTGGTCTCCCACCAGTACAGAAAACATGGAAATGCCATTGTTTTAGTAAATATAAACTGCTAAATAGCTTTCCCCAACAGCAGTTAGAGCAGTCCTATGACTTCTATCACTGTCCAGCAGAGCCCTGGTTAAAGCTTGTAGGAGGAGTTTTCTTTCTGCTCTAGGAGAATGCAGAAACCCTGACCTCTGTCTGGACAGTGCTGATTGGCCCTGTGCCCAAGACAAAAAAAAAAAAACCTCTCTAGCAATACACACTAAACTGAGCATGTGCATAGTGTCACCACATGACATGTCTTATTAGGAGATAAGAGGGGGGCACTGGAAGAAGGAAGGATCTGAGAAGTCAGGATCAAACAGCATTTTTACATAATGCAGAGTATTAACCCCTTAGGTTCCACAGTGAGTATAACAAGCATGCTTTACTGCATATACAGACTGATTTAACTGTTGTGGGTTTAGTAACACTTTAAGGAAGAGAAAAGAGCCTTCTCTTCCAGAAGATTTGTCACAAAAGGTTTGTTCATCAAAACGATGGCTGTTTTATTGTTTTATCATGTTCAGTAGATTATTCCTCAAATATACAGAGATTATATGTTCATTTTCACATTTGATATGATCACACGTTGTGGATTTAAAAGGGTTAAAACTCATTACAATGATGACAGGAACATCTGTAAATTATCATTTATCTAGGCTAGGATTACATTTTTTTTCTCTTTTCTTAAAGTATATTTAGAAGCATTGCCGGATTTAGGGGGTGCTGGGGTGGACTGCAGCCCTCAGGTTTCATTTGTGTCCCTCCAGGCCGGCCCCCCATGGACATTGTACCCATGCCCGCTGAGCTTCTCCCCCCAATCCCCACACTTAGGTCTGGGGCAAAGGGCGGTTTAGCTTGGCAGAGTGAACTAATGTAAAGTCCAGACAGGAGAAGTGTTAGCGGCAGAGAGGAGAGAGCAGGAAGGAGGTGCAGGCTTTCTGTGCTCTCCCCCCTCCTGTCATAACAGCACACCTCCATACAGCAGCTTATGCAGGATCGCTCTTAGAACGAACTGTACACAGCTTGATTAACTGCCCCAACCCATATTTCTGGGAGATGAGCAGTCCTTAGAGGAGATAGGGACGGGTAATCAAGCCATGTACCGCCGCCTGATCTAAATGTGACCCTGTGTAATCTGCTGTATGGAGAAGCAACGTTATTATGACAGGAGGGGGGAGAGCGCAGAGAGCCCGCACCTCCTCACTACTCCTGTAGTTCCCCCCTGTAAGATTGGAGAGAGGTTTGTGGAGGCGGGGCTGCTGTTTGTGCTGGAAAGGGAAGAGTAATGGGGAGGGGGATTTGTGCTTGAAGGAGGAATGGGGGGGGGTATGTATAAGGAGACAGGATGTGGGACAATTTGTGCCAGAAGGAGGAGAAATTTGGAGGGTGGGGATTTGTGAGGAAGGGTCATTTAGAAGGGGTTGTTTAAGAGGAGGATTTGGGGGGGGATTTTTGTGCTAGGAGGATGGATTTGATGGGGAAGTGAATTTGTGCTAAGAGGGGGGATTTGGAGGAGAGGATTTGTATTAGAAGGGGAGATTTGGGGAGGAGCATTTGTGCTAGGCGGAGGGATTTGGGGGAGACGATATCTACTAGGAGAGGGGATTTAGGGAGGAGGATTTTTGCTAGGAGGAGGGATTTGGGGAGGAGGATGTTTGCTAGGAAGGGGTTTTGGGGGAAGAGGATTCACACTAGGAGGGGGATTTGGTGGGGGGGAGGATTTGTACTAGGAGGGGGAATTTGAGGAAAGGATTTGTGCCAAGAGGAGGGATTGGGGGGGGGGGATTTGTACTAGGAGGGGAGAGTTGGTGAAATATTTACACTTGGAGTAGGGTTTTAAGGGAAAGGATTTGCACTTGGAGAGGGGATTTCGGGTGAAGGATTTACGCTAGAAGAGGGGATTTGGGGGAGGATTTACACTAGGAGGGGGGATTTGGGGGGAGGATTTACACCAGGAGGGGGATTTGGGGAAGAGGATTTGTGCTAGGAGTGGGGAGCTGGGGAGAGGATCTGTGGAAGGAGTGGGGATTTGGGGGACGATTTGTGCTAGGTGGGAGGATTTGGAGAAGAGGATTTTAACTATGATGGGGGATTTGAGGGGGGAGAACATATGCTAGTAGGGGGGATTTTGGAAGGAAAGAGGATGTGAGCTATTAAGGGTGCTTTTTTTTGGGTGGGGGAGATTTGTGGGTAATTGGGGGAGTGTCAGGGCAGGAGCTGAGGAACGGACAGGCAGGCCTAACAATGTAACGCACTGGCTGACGACAACCACCACCCACAGACCAAAGTCCCTCAGGGCGCGGAGTCTAAGTCCCAGGCTGCCCTTCACCCAGGGCCCCTGATGGTGGGGATGGACTTTGACGCAGCCAGGAACCAGGTCGCGGCCCCCGAGACAACCTCAGCTGCGGTAATGGCCGCCGCCAAATGGCGTGTAGCTGGTGGAAGAGAGACAAAAGAGTAGTCAGACAAGCCGGGGTCAACACAAACAGGACAGAACAGTACAGGACAGCAGACGAGAATCACAGGTCACGAGCCGGGTTTCAGCAACAGAGGGTCAGATCAAAGGAAATACAAAGAATAGTCAAAGACAAGCCGAATCAGATACCAGGAGAGTCACGAGCGTCAGAACAGAGTAACAGCAACACAAAGACACAAGACACAAGTGCAAAGAGCATGTGCGGGCCACAGGCTTATATGTCATCAGCCACACCCCTCTGGAGGATGGACCACAGAAACCTGAAGGCATAAAAGGGCTCCCATCATGCACAGCAGATCTATCCAAGATGGGACACCCAGCACATGAAGTAACATAACCACAGGAAAAAGGTAGGACCTTGACAGTACCCTCCCCCTCAAGGGCCCCTCCCCCTCCGCGGCTCTCAACAAAAGGTTTCCGAGGAAAGCGGGTATGAAAAGCGCGGAGGAGGGCAGGAGCATGGACATCCGCGGAAGGAACCCAGGAACGCTCCTCGGGACCATAACCGCGCCAA